CAGATACAGGGTCAGGTCAAGCTCAGGTTTTGTCAACTCTGATTGATTCTTGGGAGAAGTGGAATTTAGGAAGAGGCTTGAGAAAAGCCAATTTTGGCCGTCGGTTTTGTATCTGCACTGAAATAGACCAGTAGCAAGTTAGTTCCTAGTGAACTGCTGTTTCCTAAAATGTAAATAGTGGCCAGTGGCTCAGAGTGGTTTCTGAGAGATTCTGAAAGAAACAGACAACGTTCATAGGTTCAGAAGTATGGCAGACTTTGCTATAGTCTTACGTAAAAGTCACAGTTATTTTAAGTGCATTATAATAGCAGTCTAGAAAATCATTAGGTCAATGGAAGCAGGATTTCAAAATTAAAGAAATAGTTTGGGATGAGATATAGAATAATTGAGTGTACGTTGGCTCAAACTAGCTAAATTATGCACAGTCTTATACTCTCAAATCATACCATGTTATTGTCATTGATGCAGATTTGTTTTGACTTGTTTTCTTCCCCAGAAAATGTTGTGCTTTTTGGTATTAGAAAGATGTGTGTAAAAGTGATGTTTCTTCTGAAGTGTTACAATTTGAAAAAGATAATGTAAAATCTGACACAGATTTTTAAAAGAATGTACAGTGTTTTAAAAAAGGAATATATGTTAAGGACTCACAAGTTCTGATGACAGAAATAAGTATGATCAAAGAGTCTTATGACTGAAATAAAACATTCTGCAATATTCCTTTCAGCCAGAGGCAGGCAAGGTCCCACAGATCTAGAGCAGAAAGGAAATGAAACAGGAGAGGGCAATTATGTACGTGTCACATTTGCTCTTCTGTATGGTAACTGCACCAATTACAGATACTGTTTCTGAAGTAATTTTGGGATTTACTGCAGTATGGAACTAGAGAGTGGTACTGCTATCAGGTATCCACAGTTTCAATATCTGAACACTGGAAAAAGTTTTCATCTTTATCACCATGCAGTATTACTGAGCATGAGTGGAAACTGATTATTAGATGAGACTTGGAAGAACAGGAAGAGAATGGATTATTTCTCTTCATATAAGATGATGATTCATTATACTCTAGATAAGATGAACAAATTATTCTCTTTCCTAGGATTAAATTGTTGCGGAAGGCTGTAGCTATTGTCCATTTTCATAAAACAGTGACATCAAATAACTTCTGGAGACTTTCCTGTTGCAAGAGTCTCTTCCCCCCTTCCTCCCCAAATACACGATTTTTTTGTTTGTTTACTGTTGTATGTAATGTTAATATATCCATCGTAAGTACCATATATATAAAAAACACCACCACGCAATTATAGTAGCGGCTTTCGTTGCTTTGCTCCTTTCAGGTCCTGTATGCTGATAACACCCAGTATGTTCATATATTGACCTCTTTTCTATTTCTTTTCTAGCTTAGGGCCACATTGAACATACTTTTAACTGTGTACATGTTTCTTAATTTTTGGGGTTTCTTTAAACAATCTACTTGTTTCCCAGATACCCAGTACTGGCTTAACCCAGTGAAGAAATTGGTTATTCTGTATATTTAGGAAGGAGTTTCCTCATTCTGCTGTCTTTAACTGTTGGTTTCCATTTCTATGTAAATTTTTTTCCTCTGTTGCTAGAGGTTTTCACACACACAGTTCAACATTCACTAGCTTTGCTAAATAGGCTTCTGGTTAAGTTAAATAAAAATTCTAGCATGATTATATGACTATGGTATATATGACTACTGTATATCAGTAGAGTCTGCCTAAACCTATGTAATACTTTAAGGGTTCTCAAATGCTAAAATGCATACCCTGAAACTCCATCCTATGCTGTCATTAAGTTCTTGATTGTATGTAAGATGTATCGACAATTTCTGTAAGCAGTCAAACTCTGAAGAAGTTCCATACTGATTAATGTATGACCATTCCCTATAAGGTTTCAGCATCAACACTCACTCGCTGACTTCTTACACAGGTCCTTCCCCACAAGAGACAAATTTAGGTCCCTTTCTTACTTCAAAGCTTTGTCTCTGTCTGCGTTACATTCTACTTTCACCTGTAACTTCTTAGTTCTTAGGGGCTTTGCAAACCAGACCATGCTGTTTCTTAGCTGATGCTTTCTCTTTAGACTTTGAGTCTTTATTGCAATATTCTCTTTCTTAAATGTTGATGTGGTTCCCTGAAGAATGGCTTAGACCTAAAAGCATATTCAGTTTCCCTTGCACTCCTTATTCTGACTCATAAATATCTTCTACAATGAGTGGTGTCCAAAACATTAAATTACTCTTCCATTGAATTTCTCTGCTATGGAAGATGTGGTTGTTCTGGGTGGAAAAAGTCATTCTGATTGGTTATGAAATGTAAAGAAATAATGGTTTCTTTTCAAGATAATTTTTCCAAGGAAACTTCTGGGATAATTTACTTAATTGTTCACTTAGTAAGCTCTTGTGAATGTTGTTTTCTAGTTTTTAAGCAGTAATTAAGGTGCAGTCATTTCAGTGTATCCTGATTAAAGTTTCCTAATTTTTTTTAAATTTTTTTTTTTTCCCCTAGATACTGCTACTAAACAAAAAATCCTGACTAGGTAAAGCTTTTTTTCCCCGCCTTGGTTTCTCCTCTTGTGATATTTACACATTCTTTTTGCTGTTTTTAAAATGCTCTTGCTCTCCCCAAAGGCGACTAGGCACAGCAGGGGTTGTGTCTTTCCTGCTGTGAGTAAAATAGGGTTGTTTTACGGGAAAGAAAATTAGGGGAGATAAAGTGTACAAATCTGAGGAAAGACTGACATTGCTATTTCAGCCGTTCCTGAAACAACTTATATGAATGTTCTTTACTTATGGACTGGTAAAGTAATTAAAAATTTTGAGATTAGACCTCCTTCTGATTGACTCACTGTTATATTTTGTTTCAGGCTTTTTTCTGTATTTTGTATTTTACCAAAGTTACTGAGCTGCGGGATTTTTGTTGGGGTATGTTGTTTGGTTTTTGCAAAAACCTGTCAAAATCTCTCTTTACTTTTAGTGTCTACATATGTGTCTTTCCTGTCAGTTAAAGGGATCTATAGGAAAGGCAACGATACAGGTTTAAGTAACTGAGGGCGTACCAGAATATTAAAAACAGAAGAAACTTGATGGCGAGGGGGGCAGGGGGACACAGGCTGAAGTCACTTGATATTGGAACTCTTTATGTAGTTCATCTCTCACTGTTTCTGGTTCCATTCCTGGTACAGCTAAGTAGCAACTGTTTCTTTTTGCTCATTCCTTTCAGTCATTTCTCTCTTGCATTTTAAAGTGTTTTTCCTTGCCTACTTGTTTTTCCATTCTTTATTTGTCTTTTATTATGACTGTTCTCTGCTGTTTGTTAAATTAAGAAATTCCACTGAATAATTGAAATCTAATTTGATTTAGTTATCCATATAATAGAATTTATGATAATTCATGTAACATCACTGTAGAAATATCTTTCATTATTGAATTTTACTGTAACTAGACATTATTAATGTCTTCTCCTCTTATTTGGCTCAGTTTATATTTTGAATTGTCAACTTAATGTGGAATTCGCTTTCTGCTCTTACCAGTATGAAATTGTAAGTAGGCTGAAAGTAAGACAATTTCCAAAGGCTTTGGACTTAGATAATCTAAATATAATAACTGTGTAGAAAGAAAAATGTGGAGAAACCTGTCAGCTTGTGTTTCGCATCACGGTTTCTGAATTGTCAATATGAAAATAAGTTCACTTGTATGAAGTCAACAGAATATGAAGAAAGATCCAGTAATCACTATTCTATAGTGATTCTATAGTGATTTATGGTGCCTCCATAGTACTAGATGTTCTTAAAGTAAATGTGATTTCTGGTATGTTTTTTCAAGTAATAGCTGTTGGGCATTGGCACTGGTGCCCAAACTCTGGAGACAACTGAAACCATTGTGAGGCTTATGGATCCATAGATTTATTTCTGTCTTTCAATATCGAAATTGATTCACTTCCACTATGAACAAGGTAGTATACATTGTTTTCCTTGGGTGAAGAATAGGTTTAATGTGAACTCTGGAAAGCATTTCACTCCTATTGTGTAGATGAAGGTTATTCAGGGATTTGGAGCCAATGCAAGTTTTGAGTTCTGCTCAGTTGATTAAAATTAAATAGCAGAAATAATTGTTTTTCATTGTGTATCTAATTATAAAATATATTTGACAATGCATTTCATAATTCATTAGTTGTAGTAATATCTTTCACCACTTGTTTTCTTGTATCTCTTCAAATATCTTCTGAGGTTTGAACACCCTAACACGTGACTGTTGTGAATTCATTTGCTTGCACATCTTTAGTGTCATACATTGAATCACTCAAAAATAACCAAGAAAGATATTTTACATTTGAAACCTGAATTAGCATTTGTCGTGGTTTAACCTGGCCGGCAGCTAAGCACCACGCAGCCATTCGCTCAGTCCCCTCTAGTGGGATGGGGAAGAGAATTGGAAAAAAAGGTAAAACTCGTGGGTTGAGATAAAGACAATTTAATAGGACAGAAAAGGAAGGGAAAATAATAATAATAATAATAATGATAATGATAAAAGAATATACAAAGCAAGTGATGCATAATGCAGTTGCTCACCACCCGCTGACCAATGCCCAGCCAGTTCATGAGCAGCAGCTGCACCCCCCCCCCCACCCCGGCCAACCCCCCCCAGTTTATTTTTTTTGTTCAGCATGACGACATATGGTATGGAATGTCCCTTTGGCCAGTTGGGGTCAGCTGTCCTGCCTGTGTCACCTCCCAGCTTCTTGTGTACCTCCAGCCTCCTCACTGGCAGGGCAGTATGAGAAGCTGCAAAGCCCTTGACTTAGTGTAAGCACTAAGTGTGTTGATAACACACTGCCCAGCAACAACTAAAACATCGGTGTGTTATCAACATTATTCTCATCCTAAATCCAAAACACAGCACTGTACCAGCTACTAGGAAGAAAATTAACTCTATCCCAGCCAAAACCAGGACAGCACTTCACGTTCTTAATTACTTCGTAGCATACTGTTCTTTATGTAGGACACCTGTAAAATTGATAATTGCTTCTTAAAAAAGCTGTTACTCTTTATACATCCTGTTGCATTCTTCTTAATTTCTAATGAAATAATTTAAATGTTTTCCTGATGCCTTTGTCTTTTTCTCAACAGTTTCCAAAATCTTGTTAATGTGATGGCGTAAACTAGTAAAAAGATACTTGGATTACATCATGGATATCAGCAACAGTGACTGATATTATTCAAGTGGCACAGTGAGAGTCTGCTGTATGAAATGTCAGAAGTTTATATTTCTTCTAGTTTTGCAATGGTAAGTTTTTTACATTTTGTATTAAGTAAATAATAACTTTTTAACTTGTTATGTAAGGTGTATTTCTTTAGAAAGTAACGTACCAGCAAATCAGTAAAGATTTCTGTCTTACATAATATTTCTAATGTCTGTCAAGTTCAGCACCAATTACTCACCAAAGTGTACATTGGAATTTGGTTTAATTTATTTTATTGGTATCTGTTTGAAATGTCAGTTACTCATCCTTAACGTGTGCTAGCCTTAATTAGAACAACCTAGGTGAAACGGAATATCTAAATGATCCTGGTTTTCATGTTTGGGTTCAACCCCAAATGAGATCACTCTTCAGAAGGTATTGAGCTGGTTAACAGGGGAGGTCCCGGACGACTGGAGGCTTGCCAATGTGACACCCATCTACAAGAAGGGCCAGAAGGAGGATCCGGGGAACTACAGGCCTGTCAGCCTGACCTCGGTGCCGGGGAAGATCATGGAGCG